AGCTCACCTCAACACATAATTCTATAGATTTCACAGCATGCGAGACTAGTTCGGATCCTTCCAATTCTTCAAGCCGCTCAAAATGAGTTGCAGTTTTCAATCGATAAAGAATTTGGAGGTTTTCACCAGATGCTTGCCAAAATCTTACTGTACCATCTTTGTGCCTGAAATATTCAAACTTGCAGAAAAATGGTACTGATTGATTAAGTTATTCAATCGAAGGATAAATTTTGAAGGTCGTAACGGTATCCACTGATACCACTTAGCCATATATAGTTATAATGGAAAAATTTAGTGAGATCAGTAGGATAGATGAGTCAGCTAACTTACCCAGTAATGATCAGCTCCTGGTGGCCAGCTGCGCATTCCCTTCCGACTCCGCCGTTCACAGGCCATGGCTAGAATCCAAATGTGCTCATAAACTAGACGAAATTCATAATCACTGAGGCCTACCCTATCGCTAAATCCTTTCTTCCTTTGCTTACACCCTACAAGAGTTAGTGCACCAATTAGGTCGCTGGGGCAATCCGCATAATAGGCGACAGCGGTAATTTGAGCTTCATGCAAATCCATAGCATGTGGGGATTCAATACAGGGGTACCTGTTACTAATACGTGGTTACCTTCTAACATCGGCTTGTCTGGAGAAAACTGAAACACTTACCCTGACGTAATTAAATCGAACATCATTAACTCGCCCTTCAATAAAACAGCTAAAGCATGTGGTTGCTGTGGGCACGAAACATAGGGAACCTAAAAGTTGGAGATAGCAATGTAAAAAAGTCAGTAGTGAAATGTAATCTTACTTGTGGCAATGTAACAAATGACAATATGGGATGGTCCATTTCTAGAACAGTGGCGGATTTAGATGGGCGTAAAAACGTAAGCACAGGCACGGGTAAACCATCTTCGGTGGACATGCCTGAATGAAGTTAGATTACTCACATAAAAATAATAATCGGGTCATCTGGATATGTTTGTCCAAAAAAGCAATTCATACCTCCGGAAAAAATAACTAAATGATCGTTATCATTGTTATGCTTCCAATCAATCATGGTGATCGGTCGACAAGGGCCTTGTCCATGTGGAAATGACTTCTGCTGCGGCTCACCTACAACTTCCAAAAAATTCTAATCGACGCAACTCTTTCGCAGAGGAAAAAGCTTACTCGTTTTCTTCATATTATACACGCATATCGAACCATCCACATTACCGGTTATCACCAGCTTTCCATCATAATGCCAGCTAAAGCACGAAAAATCAGCTCCTAGCTACCTGCAACTTGCAAACTAACCAGAAACATTTGATTGGTGGGTCAAGGGGAAACCGGTCGATTTCCTTGGTTAGAAGGTTCCACTGTACCACGACACCCTTGTCGTACCCGATAAGAAGTTTTGTAGGCTCTGTTGGGCTCGCAGCAATTTGTCTCACATAACCAGGATGTACCCGACAGCTCCTAAAACAATTTACAGATCTCGTGAATGATGTCCGAAAGAGATGGAGATGAAAACATTGCAAATAGGGGATATCCAAAATTTGTAGCTTACAAATCGATAGCTTTGTTCCAGTTAATGACGTAAGGGCTCAGCTGGAAAGTGCCAACGGATACGAAATACACGTTACCCTAAATGTTGAATGATAGTCTTCGCAAAGTATGAAGTATGATTAGTAAAGATCTAGAATAACAAAAAAAA